CTACATTTTTCTCCACATTTTTATTTTCGTCCTGAAAAATTACATAGAAATTACATATGAGGATCACTCTATATATGGATTTGTTTTGTTTAGTTCAAAGATCAAAATCTTACTCTTAGACGCGAAAAAATCCTTATTTAAAAGAAACTTCTTTTTACAGCAATCAAGATGGCGGTTGAAGGCGTCATGGTGTCCTACAACTACTCCGAAGACGGCGAATTGGCGAACATCCTCACAGTGGCAGCTTCAGGCATAAAATTTTCGAAGCGTTGGGTTCTCACTCACGGCTCCATACTTTCCCCTCTAAAACAAGTTCGCGCCATACAAAACGCTAAAGGAAAATCTATATTGAATGAAGAATTCTACGCAAACCTACCAGAAATACACGTGACATGTGAAAAAGCAAATTCTAAGTCCCAAAGCTTGTACGATAGTGTGGAAAGACTGAGCAGAGATAGAAGCATGGACAGTGATGCAGATTTTGAACATAGCAGCTATCAGATTAGAGTTTTGACTGGCAGGTAAGTATTTATTACATTATTGCAGAGGCCGGGAAGTAAGGGATTACTGGACAAGTATGAGTTACAAGGACTAGCGCCAGCGAGGCCTTGTATTAATTAATACGAGGCAAGCAATCCCCGTTCCCGCCGAGGCATGTGTAGTATTTTTCTCAAACAATGTGAGGAAATAATAAAAGACTAAAAAGAGGAAGATGTATATAGAAAAATTAAAAAAATATTAATGTGAAAACTAATATTTGACTTGTTAGGACAATTTCTAAAAGAAAATGTTATTGTTTTTCCTCTACACACTAGCACTTATTTTCGCGACCAAAATACAAAAGTTCTTTCTTTTGTTTCTTCGTCTTTTTTGTATTTTGGTCGCGAAAATAAGTACTAGTGAGAAGAGCGATAACGAAAATACAATAATAGAAATCAGAAGTTCAGCAGACTACCATTAATGTGTCTGGAAAAAAATAACATTTACTTTTAGCAATTGTCTTACCTATATATTCCTAGTCCTAATTGTCAATTTTTTTTACTTTTTCTATAAGGGTTACGCTTCCACATTTATATGGCGAACGGCTATAGAGTAGAAAGAAATCTTGTCTTTAAACTTGTTCCCAGAATGTTATAACTTTAGCCTTTTCTAGGCGAGAGTGAATAGGCATTATTAGATGTGCATGCTCCATCATCAACCTCATCGTCAATTTCCATCAGGTGAAATGGAAATCAAATGCGCACTTACATTTTATTAAAAAAAATGAAAAGACGCATGATGCGAATAAAGCTTCATACTTGACATTGTCTCTTCGTGTGGTCGAGTAAGTATTACTTGTTTATGTCCGTAAATTGGTTTGTTTAAAAAACAAGTACCTATATACGCTATTTAGACCCGAAAAATGTTTTGATTTGCAAAGTCTAACGATCGCATAAATCTAAGAACTCGATTTGTTGTAAATTTCCAGAATATGTCACGTATGGCAATGCCCGATCCTGGACCGGTGCGTGGACGACATCCTGTACAGCTGGACGATAGGACACCGCGACGGTGACGTAGAGAAGCAGACACAGCTTGGCAAGTCGCTGTTATCCGTCTTCGTGCTTGTCGACTTAGAGAGCGATGATCGAGGTATGCATTCATAAATATCAAACCAATACTTCTGTCCCCCAATCAACGTCCCTATCTACCGACCCGAGAGATAGTGAGTTCCAGGGAGACTACGGGCTCCCCGGTAAGACCGGGTACGGCGGGCATCCGGGCTAAGCCCTCCGCCAGTGATACGCCTTCACGTCTCTGGCAGAGACGGACTCTGGGCATGGGCGAATTAAAGAGATTTGGTAAAGGACATTTGTAAGGTTGCCAGTTTTCATAAAATTGTAAATAGTCACGTAGTTGTTGTCGACTGTTTTATCGATGGATTGTGAAAGAAGTTAAAAGTATACCTTAATGTCTGAACGAAATGAAATGAAATTGAAAATGAAATTTTATTTATTTAGGCGTTATTGCCTTCTTCATTCTTATTTTGGCAGTTAGCCTACTGGTATTGAGACCAGTCTTTATTCATATACGTTTTAACAAGCACAGACGAATTTGATTATGTATACGCATTAAATTAAAAGCTTTGTACAATGTGTCGCATCTTTGTATTTTTAATTAATTGACTTAGAACATTTAGACGATAATCGATAGAATTATTTATCGCCTGCAATCACTGGCTGCTTGCAACACTTTTGCGCAATGAACTGCCATTTTATCTTAAAAAAAGGCAGACTATAGATATGTAGATAGCGCAGGCCACACCGCGAATGAAGCTAAGCTATCTTACCTTAGCTCACGTAGTTGCATGTAAATTTAGGCTAAGAACATACGCAGTAAGTAGTGACATGCTACACTGTGTATACGTACGTGGGCAAGGGCGACAGAAGGGCGACACATAATTTTACATAGCTTACCGGGATCGTTGGGTTAGTTTAGTTAGCCCGGTTAGCTTAGTTCGCGGTGCGAACCAAAATATGAATAGATGCCCCGGCTACGTGAGCTAAGCCAAGTTAGCCAAGTTAAATAAATAATAACGCACACACTCATAGCCCTGGGGGAAACCCTGAACCGCGGGTGCCATGGACACACATAGGTAGACAACCAAAATGTAGGCCATACAAATATTTATTTTTTATATTAGCCGGCCGAGGAATCGAACCCGGGACCTCCGCGTGACAGTCAACATGGCAACCGTTCGGCCACAGTAGTATAAAAAGCGATACTGTTATATTTCGTAATATATAATCTATGAATTGAAATAACAATGATAATTCACAAGTATCTTTAATATAATCAGATAGCGCTGTACAGTAACGTAATTCAAGATAATAAAAATTATGTACACGTCGTTTCGTTCTGGCCTTTTTTGAGGACACCCTTATCTAGTCAAGATAAGTACGCTAAGGTTAACCTTGTCCCAGGTCAGAAGTACAAAGAATAAACGGGCGTATAGGAAAAAGACTTGCGAGTGGATGATGCTGAAGCGGTATGTCAGCAGCGTAGGTTCGTTGTGTACAATAGTGGGAAACACGTGTAGTGGTATTTTTCGTCATGTCACACTAGAGGTAATATGGGTATGATACTAGTACCTAAGCTAAATAGTCGCTTCAAGAACAAGAAAAAGAATTAATGGTGAATTTCTACGATAAATTTCTAATGAGGTTCTGAGAAAGCATATTTTTTTACACCAGGATCCTGTGCAGTCTTTACGCGGTACATAATACGAGAGCCCAAATTCCACTATGGTTTGTTGTGCCCTAGATGATGATCGAATCAAGAAATGAGAAGATCCGTAGAAGAACGAAAGTTACCGGCATAGCCACTGACTTACAATTATATGGACGTCGGGTCCGCGCTAAAAAGTGTCCGAACTTATAGGGCGTTAAAATCGCATACAGAGCGTCATTCACGCTTTAGTCTTTAGTTTGTTCGACTGACAGCGAAGCAAGCAAAATTAGACAGTGCTGCGATGACATTACAACTTAAATTCAACGTTTTAGCTTTTTCATATTCCTTTACATGTCACTACGTTTAAATAGGTTGACCTGGGACATTTTTTTCGTGGTTTTTGTATTAGACCCGTCGTCCATTTGTAAGTCAATGGGCATAGCCAAGGAATTAGCAAGTTAAAGTGGCAGTGAGGACGGCCGTTGGGACAGACAGGTTCTCAAATGGAAACCACGAACCGGAAGGCGTTCAGTGTCTAACCGATGGATACACGTCGCTTCCGACCGGCTAGTCTAGCAATATTTTAGGCAAGCCTATGTTCAGCCGTGTACGTCTTCCGGCTTATATGATGATGATAAGATCAAATTTATCAGTCAATCGTGGACATTAATATAGTACAACGCAATCTAATGATACTCAAATTCTTAATACAACTAATTTCAAGGTCGACCAATCGTGCTTGTCCTCCCAGAGAGCTGACACGCCTTGAGGACGTCTGAAACAAACGCAAATAAATTATATTTGTTACATTGGACCTGCTAAAAAGTGACGGGATGAATAATTCGTGTGTCTGGTAAGCGACACGCCTCTCCATAACAACTGCTGTGCCTTGGTCTATTACACAGGTTGCCACCAGCTGTGGAAAAAATATTTTGTTGAGACATCTAAAGAAAAAAGTACTTGGTTCAAAACAATACAACCTGAGCATTGACTTACAAATAAATGGACGACGGGTCTAATACAAAAACCACGAAAAAAATGTCCCAAGTCAACCTATTCGAAATTTAAATTGTAATGTCATCGCAGTATCGCGCTGTCAGTAGAACAAATGAAGACTAAAGCGGAGTGTCGCGTTCTGTATACGATTTTAGCGCCTTACAAGTGCGGACACTTTTTAGCGCGGACCCGACGTCCATATAATTGTAAGTCAATGAACCTGAGCCACTGGAAGTTTCGTGGATTGATAACTGTATGCTGAATAGACTTAGTATTGTGACGGCTCTGAGGTCGCGCTCTGGGCACATTCCTTCAGAGAAGTTTATCTTTTTGATGGGCATTACGCCAACTCCATATTGTAGCAATAGAAGACGTTTACCACATTTTGATGGAATGTAGTCGCACCGAGAGACTCGGGAGACAGTTGGGAGTGTGGCCAACATACGACAGACACGGTGGTGTAACATTATACTGACCGTTCCTTCGTCGAACGAAGCCAAGATACTGTACAAAATATTACGAAGTGACATTACCATTTAGAAATGCATCGCTACACTTGCGATTTATAAGCGTTTGCATCGATGCAAACGCGTGGCTGCATCGATACACACACGCGATTGAATCGATGCAATCGCCTATAAATCCCAAGTGTCGCTTGCTTAAAATCGCGCGCGTGCGTATATGTAGACGATTAGAGACTGCATCGCTATTGAAGCGGTGAAGCTCCATAAATTTTGGTTTAAGAAAATAAAACTGCAGTGGCACTCAGACCTTCAATCGCAAAGATCTGATAGACAGCCACTGCTCCCATCATCTTGAGACATAAAACTAACAAGCACCCTTACCATTCAAAACCGGAACACAGTAATGCTTAATTTACTGCTTGGTAACAGAAATAGGTATGTGGGCAATACTTCCCTGGGCGAAGTAAGTAAGTAATTGCTTCCTTTTGACACATGTCATGATACTTTGATTGCGACGTATTTTAAATATTACAAGAACCGTAGTCACGTTTTCCACTGAATTATGCTCTGGGGCCTTACCATGAACTTTACTAAGACGAGTCTTTAACGAAACATTTAAATTTAGGATTCTAAAATGAATTTATCGAGTTCTTAGGTTTTCGCGATTGTTACACATAGGAAATGAAACTATTTTTCCGAATTTAAATCGCATATATTTGTTTTTTCAAACAATTTATTTAATTAATAACTATTGTAACTATAGTGAAAAAATTGGGTGGTTTGCATCAATATTAGACATAACTGGTTGAAGACTGTACCACCTCAGTCAACCGTGACCATGGGATCTGTAAAGGGCCCGAAACGTCGGTTTGTTTGAAAAAACAAATATACGCGATTTAAATCCGGAAAAATAGTTTCATTTCCTCTAAAATGAATTGTTAAATTTCGTACCATGACCTAGTTAAAACTGATTCGCTTTCGAACCACTAACCCGCGAATGAATGACCGATTGTCCCTGGTCCGCTACCATTTCGTATTGTGAAATTTTTAAATGTAATGCCGGGTTCACGAGTCTTCGACTTGCGTTATTCGCTTGCTTGCGTTTGCTGGGTACACGGCGGCGTAGAATCTGCCTTCCGCGCAAAGGCGTTCGAGTCTTCCGCTTTGCGTTGCGGAGAAACTCGCGCGAATGCGTGGCGCCTTGTCTTTGTTTTGGTTTTATTGGACGCGTGGACGCTGTTGCTCTATGATTGGCCAGTGGTGCTCTCCTCCGCAAATGTTCCTTGTTGCTTGCGTGGGAAAATCAAGCTTGCTAGATATCAAACTTACGCGACGCAAAGAAATCCTACGCAAAGCATGCGGTCGGCACGAGCGAGCGACTCGTGAATAGTTCTACCTGCGCGCTCAAGACAGATCTTCGTGTATGCGCGTAGCGAGTCACGCAAGCAAGCGAAAAACGTGAAAAACTCGTGAACCCGGCATAATGTTCTTTGTCATGTTTTTTGACGGTGGTTTTATAGGTACTTCTGTGAAACACAAAAAACAAACTTATGTCATTACTAAGTGAAACAATTAAAGAACATGCGCTTGTCGCCTTTTCCATAAATACAAGGAACGATAGAATTTGTATGAAGAGGCTCTACGGCGAAACCTTTGCCTACCTAAATATATGTGTGAATGTTTATTAAAAAAAAGTGAATCAAAAGATAATAAACTAATACCTAAACCAGAAAACATCTCTGGTCTATTACGATATTTTGCCTGCGTATCCATAGACCGCCACCTGATACGATCCTGGCATATAACTTAACTCTTCTATCACTCGCATTAAACCCATTCTAATTTAAAAGTATATTAGAAGAATAATAAGATGTAAGAATCGTAATACTGCCCTTTCTTATCATAACTATCGTAACGGACATTTATAGCCAAATTGAGTTATTAACAATCTGGGATCACCGAAACGAGATCTACAACCACATATGTGGTTTTTTATATATCGAGTTTTTAGGTTTTCGCGACTGTTATACATAGGAAATGAAACTATTTTTCGGGATTTAAATCGCGTATATTTGTTTTTTCAAACAAACCTTTCACGGTTGACTGAGGTGGTACAGTCATCAACCAGTTATGTCTAATATTAATGCAAACCAATGACCCTATTGCGAACAAAATGAATGTTTTTGTTTACAAATAATACTGATTTTCCATCTATATATATTGTTTCCATTGAATATATTGGTTCCAATCAGTATTTCTTTTAATTTTCAAATCGTGACCTCTCAATTTCACAATTTTGAGTTACGACAATATTTGGTTTCGTGTGCGACATTCAATAATGACCAAAGGTCCTAAATAAATGGAGTTAAAAAAAACTGCAACTCGAAGAGGCTTTGCAAACATACTTGTAGTACTACTGTAAATACAATAATCACAAGAGATACAATTATACTCCGCCTATTTAAGACGCTGACAAGCGTCGATGACCTTGCGTCGATAACCTTGAGCGATAACGCGCCTACTATAATTTCTCCAATAAGGTGGCGCCATACGCCCCGATGCGGTAAGAGTGTGGTAGTTGGACCTTCCGCTTGATTTAACATAATATTGATTGCCGGTAACAGATGGCGTTGTACATAAAATACATACATGCTATCAAACCAAAAAATATGAAAGCATATAAGAACTGGATGTTATGCAAGCTACGCAGCAGAAGTTTTCAACGTTGCAGTTTTACTAAATAATCAAGGACGCAAGCAATAATTTCATTTTTGTTTTGAATACTTTGTGTTTTAGGTTCTAAATCAACCAAAAATATTTTTTTTTATTCTCACCTAATGGCTAAATTTGACTTTTTTTAAATATTTTGTTTTGATTTCAACGAATTGGTGCATTATATTTACTTATTTACATATTTTTTGTGTATGATATTTTTTCACTCTGTTAAGTGCCTGTCCATAATTTGTAAGCAAATATGTAGCTCGTACTTTAGTAGGTGAAAGTTACTTTTTACTCCTAAATTTGTTATTTGTCTTTTATTTAAAACAAGTAAAGTGTCAGGATCAAGATAAGTACCATTTAAATAACCACACCAAATTTGGTAGTAAGCAAGTTTGATTTGCCCGAGAAAAATATGTCAAAAAATAACCACCAGAGTCTCACTGTAATCCAGTTTTTGTATTACCTATGACAATAAGCATATTCTAGGATTTTCAAGCTACACGTCAAGATACGTGTTAGAGGATGTACTATTTTCAAAGTTCCACGTGCTATAATATAATATCGTTTATTAAAGACAACAAGGCCCACTTTGTATTAGTAACAGACTTATAAACTATGTTAGTAAATTATTTCTAACTTAGATCTAGTACAATTTATGAGGTGCCTCATTAGAGGCCCCTCCACTCTATCAGCAATCATTTTGAGAATGCTGTTGCTACTGTTGCGAAGTCTGTTCAGCAGAGAAGCTGATTTCTTTCTTATGATTGCTGCGAAAGAATCCATCCGCGCCTCAGCAAACATGGAAGAAGCGCTACAGAACTTCGGCAGACGCAACAGCATCCTAAAAGCATTGTTGTATTGGGTGCGGAGAGCAATGTACGACTTTTGCGTGTGCCTATTCCATAGGCTGCCCGCGTAAAAAGATGTACAATAGGCTTTGAAAAGAGTTACCTTAACTTCAGCAGAGCATCGAGCAAACCTGTGAACCAGCATATTCGCTCTTACTGACAAAGCTCTCCGCTCCCTTTCCATATCATTATCATCTTTGAGATCAGGCCTAACGACATGTTAATAACGCTATGTTATCGCCTAAAAACTTACACAAAAACACCATATTTAACGGATTTTGGGCACCTCATCGCCTTAACCGCCTGGCCGAACGGTTACCGTGGCGGTCTGCCACGCCGAGGTTCCGGGTTCGATTCCCGGGCCGAGAGAAATTTTTGTAAGGCCTACATTTATTTCTTTCGTGAGTTTGGGTGTAATTTTTGTCTATGTGTGTGTCCATGGCACCCGCGATACAAGGTTTGCCTAGTGCTTGGCTATGTTGAGTGTGCGTTCGTAAGTAAAAAGTAAACTCCGTAAGTAAGGGAGGCCCTACACTTTTTAATGCTAAATCGACTTGAGCTGGCCATAATTATTTTCTGTCCGCACCATAAGAGCGAAAAAAACATTGGGCGACGACGAACGGTATGATTCAACACAGGCACGTCATTCCATCTAATGTGAATGTGTAATGTGAACATTACTGCCTTTCGGTTTCGAAGAGTAAGGTTGCTGGTGAAATAATAGGCACATGGGTTTTATCAACTTATGTCTCATGGTGACGGGCGCACTAGCAGTGCCCTTCAGATCTTTGCGATTTAAAGCTCTAAGTTACTGCAACTGTTATGGACAGGCGTGTCGCTTAAAACCAGGCGCGCGACTTTTCGTTTTATCACTTGGTGTCGTAAAAAAACGCACAGGCGACTGTGCACGCCATCATCAGTAAATTACATATATCGAGTATATAACTAGAAATAGAGACGAAATAAGGGACATCCATCCCTGGCAACTCATAAGGCAAATGGGCCTTATATCACTTTTAAAAATAAAACTCTCGTTTGCACTGAAATCACAAATAAGAAAGTTGAAATAGTACAGCGCCAACAATTGACCTGTGTGCACGTAATAAAGGTTAATATCTCTAACTATGGGGCGCTTTTTTCGGTGGTGTGGGGAAAACAGCAAAACATCTAATTATTGAACAAACGGAATTACATTTCATCGGTAATTAAAAATGTAATTTTTTAATTTTCGTACATTATAGCAAAGCTCAAGTTAAACCCGTCAATTGTTGCGAATTCGGGCTGGCCAATTGAAGCGCAGTTGTCACTGTAATGATACGGTAGAATAGTTTTCAAACAAATTAAATGACATTTCGTCTCTATTTCTGGTTATATATTCGATGAGGACATATCACTTACCGGGCTTAGGATCAGCCATCAACGTGTAATCATGCCTCCAACTGTTTACACTACCCATGTGTGGTACAATGTCGGGTATCAACGTGACGTCGTTGTCAACGGCAGTCTTTTTGACTACGCCTATCGCACCCAGCGCTAAGCCACCGACCACTAACCCGTGCATCGAACCCACATATGCAGCAACGATTGGCCCGCATGCAAGTCCACCTGATTGGCAAAAACAATTAATGTTAAATGCGTGTTTTTCTTTTACATCCGGCTATTAAGACAACGAAATGTTAGGCTTAAAATTTGTAACTTGTTAGGCGTTAAACAATAATCTAAATACTAGTAATTTATTTCCAGTAATTGACTCCTATGCGAGGTGCGGCTGAAAAGTAATCTACCTAAGTATGGAATAATACCACCACCCATTTTTAATTGTAATGTACGTAGGAAATGCACTTATTATATTTGTAACAAAGAGACATTAAACGTTAGAAAGAATCTGTTCAAAAAGAAGCTGTTGCTCATTTAAAAAAAAATCTCTTTTCTCCCGCCATTATGCCCTTGTTAAGTGATTTTTTTTTATTTAAGGTCTTTGACCGTAATATACAAAAAGAGTGTCTGTATTTTGAAAAAAGAATAAGCAACGAATGCGTCACGATAGTGGCCAACTCTTTACTGGTACCTGGCCATTTGCTTTTAAATGTCCTTTTTCCTTCACTATTCTTGCGTTGACTCGTTCCGTCGTCACTCTCATCACAATTCTCGAAACGAAAGGAAGTGTACACAAATCATCACCTTCATAAACTTCCCAAAGGCCCTTTTGGGCTTTTCACTTCTATTTTTAAACAAATTATGTGGACCGAGCATTGACTTACAATTATACACACATCAAACAAAGTTTGCGATCAATAGCATAAGCTCCTATAATTCTTTAAATTTAACTTTATCAAGAAAAAATCTATGTTGTATGCTTTCTTTAAATTGGAATACCCTGTTTGAAATTAAAATATAAAACTATTTTTTATTATTTATTTAAAAAAATTGAGCCATTAATCATAATGTAATAGTGATAGAAATTTCATAGAAAGAAAAAGACTGTTTAATTAAACTTAAACAACAATTTATTATTAAAAGGTGTGAATTCAATATAAAATAACTCCTCCCCTGGCTCGAATACATGCGAAGATCCTCCTGGGCATGCTGAGGATCAAGTTATCCAGCATTTCCTGGGGTAACCTATCCCATTCTTCAATAGCGGCTTCCCTGAGCTCTGGAACTGTCTGGGGTCGTGGCTCACGGTTCCATACTGCTCGTTTAAGAGCATCCCACGCGTGCTCTATTGGGTTTAAGTCGGGCGAGCCGGCAGGCCAGTCTAATCGTGTGATATCGTATTATTGAAGAGCAGCATTGACTCGTTGAGCTCGATGTGCGGGCGCATTATCATCGACCAGTACAAATTGGTGCCCATGGTTTACTCGGAATGGTCTGACGATATCATCAATAGCAACTGCTTTGTACATGTCTGCTGTCATGAAGCCCCGATACGGGATCAAAGGCGTTCTAGCTCCAATCATAATGCCACCCCAAAAGGACACCGATTTTCCGCCTTGCTGAACTGTTCCAATGGCAGTTCTTTGTCTTTCACGGTCGCCTGGTCTTCTCCAGACACGGACACGTCGGTTATCTGGATGAGTGCTGATTCGGGATTCGTCAACGAAGAGACAGTTTTGCCAAATGTTTTCGTCCTCACCTTCTTCATTTTGCCGAAGTCTAGCCCACTGCAATCTTCGTTGTTGACGTTGCCGGGAATTGAGCGGAGCTCGCCAAGACCTCCGTGCTCGTAATCCAGGCTGGTGCAAGCAATTGCGAACGGTCTGCGTGCTAACTTCAAGCGCAGAGGCGGCCCTGACTTCTGCTTTTATTTTAGTGGCGTTGATTGTTGGATCACGGGCTGCCAGCAATCTAATATAGCGCTTTTGGGCAGCTGTCAAAACAGTTGGGCGAACGCTGCGGGGTCGGTCAGCTAAATTCCCCATTCCGTGATACCTCTGCAACGTAGCCACGACACAGGATTGGTATATAGCAAGTCTGCGTGCTATTACTCTCGTGGTGTATCCTTCTTCCCTCAAAGTTACTATTCTAGCTCGTAATACCTCTGATAATCCTCTTGGCATTTTTTCAATCAAACTTTCCGCGAAAAATATCTTGAATCGCTTATAATTGACTAAATCAGATTTCTGAATGAGCGTAAGCTAGGACTGAAAGCCTTTTTATATGAAAAAACAATTGAACGGGGTCATTGTTTTATGTTCTAATTTATTTTTAAATAAAGAATCTAAAAAGAAGAAAAAATCATAACATAATCTACAGTAACAAAAAAGATTTCAGTTTTTCGAAGTGATCGCAAACTTTTTTTGATGTATGTATGGACGTCGGGTCCGCGCTAAAAAGTGTCCGCACTTGTAAGGCGCTAAAATCGTATACAGAGCGCCAAACTCCGCTTTAGTCTTCATTTGTTCTACTGACAGCGCGATACTGCGATGACATTACAATTTAAATTTCGAATAGGTTGACTTGGGACATTTTTTTCGTGGTTTTTGTATTAGACCCGTCATCCATTTATTTGTAAGTCAATGGGACCGAGCCTTTCCTTATCCTATCGCTAAGGCTAGGCCACAACACTTGCTTCTCCGAACATCCCTGACGCGCTACAGAAGCGAGGCAGCCCCATCAGCACCCAGAACGCATTATTATACTGAATCCGGAGTAGGGTTGTTGCGAATATCAGCGGTTTCGAATACGACAGTTTAACGTTCCATTCGGGTGTTGTGAATAAAAATGAAAATAAATCGTACGATATCAAATCGAACCGACCGGTCGACAACTGAGTTATCTTAAGGTACTGAATTACCCCCTGGTCCGGATAGCCCTATAGGTATATCTACATATAATAAATACCTCCACAAACTGCATTAATATGCAGAACATTCGGCTCTTATCTGCTACGGATGCGTAAACTTTAAATAAAACAAACTAATGGACTGACCAAGAAAGTAGTTGAGGACATCGTCTTTATCGCGCATTATGTGGGCTGCGTTGGAGACGGCTGCGAACGTAGCCCCCATCAGAGTAATAGGAATCGTGTGATACATGTACCTAGAACATCGGATGGGTTTTGGTGTGGTGTGGTTACCTTTAACAGCGTTTTCTAATCTGGGGTTCGCAGACTTCCCTCAGAACATCAAATTCTATTCTTCTTTATTAGGGGACAAACTTTTTTTACACAATGTTTGTGCTCATTTGACATGCATCTCACAGACGAAGAGGCCGACGATGGAGCATGCACACCGAATAATGCCAATTCATTTTTGCTTGAAAATGCCCAAGTTATAGCGTTCAGGGAATAAATTACAGACGAAATACTGGTGAAATTACTTCCACATGGGACTTGTCAACTTATGTCTCAGGATGACGATCGCAGTGGCAGTGTTTGAGTGGTACTGCAACTGTTATAGACAGGCGTGTAACTTACCATCAGGCGCACGACTGTTCGTCCCGTCACTTATTATAAAAAAAAGAATAAATCTGTAGGGAATTCAAAAGCCAGCAGAGAATTTCACCCCATAGCTATTCGCTATAACGCTCCGTGTGACGCCTTGAAATGTCCACAACATAGGGGTGGAACCCAAGCATAAGTCTAGTCCCCCGGTGATGTAAACGGGAAGGCGGAATTAAATCGTGCAATTGAGGAATAAGAAAGTGAATGATACTTACCGCCCCATCATTCTCGGAAAACCATGGGCGTGAGAATACATCAAGATGTCGAACGAGGAAAAGATGAGGCCCGCCACAGCGCCATAGCGACTGGCCACCATCATCTGGAATTATTTAGTAACAATACAGCTGTTTGTAATACGGTGTTTCGGTTATCAATGAAAAGAAAGAAAATATGTAGTATTTAACTTTGCAAAGTAAAATTATACCATTATAACTGGATAGAATTCTTTAATATCTTATCTAATGAGCCCTATACACGGTGGCGCTCGCCTTCACTCGTCTAGCTACGCGAGCGACATCGAGTGAAGACAAGGTAAATAAGCTGTCTACAAGTTGGTATTGGCCTTCACTCGCCTAAGCTCGACCAACATCTTAAGAGTATTTTTTATGTTATTAACCTTAAACTTTGTCACAAAAAGCTGTTTTTCATATTATAGCTCCTTGGGAAAGATTTCGCCCTGGGAAGCAAAGCAGCTCGCTTGTACTGTTGACCGCCCACTGTATTTGATCGTCAATCGTATGGGTGATTTTCACAAAGTTATTATCCCGATTTGAAACGTGATAAGAGTGAGCTTTTGTACCAGGGAGTCTACTCTTGTTCTTCATCCGAAACATTTACTGTCAAGTACTTAATACGATCAAATCAAGAGATAATGCCAAGTATAAAGCTTCATTCGCATCATGCGGGTTCGGACCCCGCAGCGTGCGGCGAACCCGAAACGGGCAGCAGAGCCTCAGCCGCATTCGATTTTACTTGAGCTTTACTTTGAGCACGGATTATCATTTGTGCTGGTTTTTAAACATGGGGAAAAATTTCGAAATTTGTAATTTCGTAAATACAGGGTGGAAATTTGTAATGCCACCTGGAGGGAAAGTACTCTAAATACTGGAGATAGAAATTTTTACTTAAAGGAAACATTCCTTTATTTTTTAAAAGAAATAAAACTGAATTCATAGATTTTCGAAAATTTCTAGCAACACGCGGGAATCGAACCCGCTTTAATCTGAAAAAAATGCACCCTGCACTTTTATTGCATCGATCGATAGGGTTAATTATAAGAATGAAATCTATCAACAAAATTGGTTAATTAAATGAAAAAAAAAACCATGAAATCTTAACGTATCTTAAACGTATTTTAATAAAACGAAAAAAATGGTAATCTAACTAATAAGTTGCTCGAAATCGGCTTTCTTGGATACACAAATTTAATCTTTTAACAAATTCATTTTGAAGGCTGTGGTTCAGAACACGATTTGTAATACAATTCATCACAACACGTTATCAAAAGTTACTCACTACATTCCAATGACAATAGTTGTACGAGTAGCTCCAAAAAATTATCACTTAACTATTAATATAGACAATATCGCGACAGTATGTTTCGGAATGCCCAAGGGCGCGTTCTATTTATTGGATGATTTTATTTATATTGGCTGACTGTCGCTTTTAGCCCGTTCCCATATCACGACGGCCTGTCGTGACTGTGCCGTGGACGTTTTTTTATCGTTGATCGACTGTCGTGTTTAGCTATACCTATTAGATCGTGACGACAATTTATCGGTTTTATTTAGAGATGGGCCGACTATGACTTTGGCCGACTAGCCGACTAGCCGACTAGTCGGCAGCAAAATGGCCGACTAGTCGGCCGACTAGTCTAGGCTAGACTAGGCTAGGCCGATCATTAATTTCGGTAGAATTCGGGTGACGTCGGAAATATTCGTAAGCGCGCTCTAGGTTCGTAGCATAGGCGCTGCGGCCGGCGCCCACGCGGACCTGTCAGGACATGTTTTTGTTGACATTACGTCGTTCATTCTGCGGCATTCATTTATTTGTAAACGGCGATATATTGGTTTTTAATTAATTAAAATTATATTACGTTGAATTACGAAGCTAACAGAGTGCAAATAATTTAATGAATAGTGAAAGTAACTAATTGAGATAGTTTGCGTTATGTCGAAAAAGAAATCACGCATTTGGATTTTTTTTGATGAATTAGAGGGAGAAGGAAGCAGTAAAGTGAAGTGCAATCAGTGTCAAGCAGTTATTTCTCGTGGTGGTCAGGGGAAAAAGGCAAATACTACGAGCATGACTAATCATATTAAGTACAAACATTCACTACTGATGCCTCAACCAAAGGAAGACTTTCTTTTTTAATTTTCTAACCCACTATTAGATTCTATTGTAAACTGAAACTGTGAGACTGATTCTTATAATAAAAAAAATAACAAGAGTAAAATAACAATTTTATTTCAATCACCCTCTCAATTTTTTTAAGCATATAAAATTAACATGAGTGAGAAGTGGGCCGACTAGTCGGCGGTTTTAGCCGATTAGTCACCGACTAGTCGCCGACTACAAAAATGGCCGACTAGTCGGCTTTACCGACTAGTCGGCGACTAGTCGGCCCATCTCTAGTTTTATTTATCGGCAGCCGCCTTGTCGTTTGCACGACAGAATCGTTTTGCCGAGGGCGCGGGAGACGGGGAGAGTATAGAGCAGAACACGTGCAGACAACGATCAATAAGACGTGACGACAATAGTAGCTGCGACTATCTGTCGTCACGTTTTTATCGTGACGTTTTATTTATCGTCAGACGACTGTCGTTCTAGCTTTTCCCATTGTCTTGACCGTCTGTCGTCTTAACGGCAAAAGAGTCGTGAACGACAGTTAATCGTGTCGTACTGTATGTGAACAACTTCATTTAAATATATAAGCCACGACACTTTAAACTGCACGACTATCTGTCGTCACGATATAATGGGAATGCACCCTAAGGATACCGCTGCCGTCATAGCGCTTGCACACAGGGATTCAGAAGCATTCCTTGCCATGACGGCCCTTCATTTAACTGCCTCGACCTCTTGCCTGCCAGGCAAGAGGTCGAGTCAGGTTCGATTCCCGGGCCGGGAGAAATATTTGTATGGCCTACATTTGTTTCTCTCGTGAGCTTGGGTGTAATTTGTGGTTGTCTATGTGTCCATAGCTCCCGCGACACAAAGCTCTACCTAGTGCGGGGCTATAAAATAAAGTAAAAGAAAATGGGTGTCGGGCCTTATTGGTACCGGGGTCTTGGGAGCATTTAGACGTTTGTAAAGGGTGTCCCAAAATTCACGCAAGAAGTAATTATAATAGAAAACACAGGTTTATAATTAAAAATTGTTTTTTTTTATTGATCCATGAAATACACATTATAGGGTTATGTATGTTGAAGCATGTCGAGTAAATGGCGTACCCGGATTTGCTGGCATATTTACTCTTTTCGTGAAATTTTCGATGACCGTTTTGCATAACTGTGTCTGAATCAAGATAACACAGCGCTCAATTTCCTTCTCCAAGGCGGTGCGTGATCGTTGGCTTGTTGGCATAAACCTTCGATTTCAGAATACCACAAACAAAAAAGTCATGATCTGGGCGGCCAATTCTGATTACCAAAACGGGAAATTACACGACCAAGAAATGACTCGTGGAGTAATAGCATTATTACTCGTGCTGTATGTCCACGTGGCACCGTCTTGTTAAAACTTCATATCATCCATTTTTCCTTGAGGTTTTTTGAAATCGAAGGTTTATGGTACCAAACCCACGACCATCCACGCCTTGAAGTGGAAATTGAGCGAAAATGTTATGCAAAAAAAGCCATGGCCATTTACCCGTTATGCTTTACCACTCATAACCCTGTCCCATGTACTTCATGGCTCAATAAAACAATTACAATTTTTTATTATAAACCTGTGTTTTTATCAAAATTACTTCTTGCGTGAATTTTGGGATATCCTTTATGTCGTCACTAACCTTGGTAGGTATATCGCATCCATCTGGAGCGTCGTAGTATCTTGCGTACCCTCGTGACTTTTTTGTATCGCATTCGCACAATGACGTTTCTTCGTTAAACTTACTTTTCTTTGCCATGATTATAGTTTTCCCTAAACTATTCTAAAGTAATGTAACATTTTGAAATGAGAGCTTAGTTATTGGAAAATTGTATTTGTTCCCCGTTCCAAAAATAATTGATTTCAATATTTGACACAATTGCCAAATACCAGAGATTTTATAAAAAAAAAAAACATTTTGTGCCAGCATACATTAAGTGTATAACAAAAGAGATTTATTGTATGAGATATTTAGTAGAAGTAGAGCAGTAGGGAGGAAAATAAAAAAAAATGTCTGCACCTAATTTGTTTTCGTGTAATAAATGGATAATAATGACAATAAAAATCTTTATTGAGTCATGGTTTCAGATTTTTTAATGCTCATTTGTCTTAGTTTTCAACGTGAAACTATAAAAGTTAATTTATATATGTCAAACATTAGCTCAGAACAGATTAAAATAATATAAATAATATATTGTATTATTACAAAAGGGGACCGTTTAGTTTTTTCCCTGCAGCTTTTACAAATTTAAAATGATCATTTAAATACATGCCATAAACTTATACTTACCAATAGATATATAGACGTTGCACACAGGTTATTAAACTTAAAGTGATTAATTTATTATCATTGACTTACAAGTATATGGACGTCGGGTCCGCGCTAGAAAGTGTCCGAACTTATAGGGCGTTAAAATCGTATACAGAGCGTCATTCACGCTTTAGTCTTCGTTTGCTCGACTGACAGCGAAGCAAGCAAAATTAGACAGTACTGACATTACAATTTAAATTCAACGTTTTAGCTTTTTCATATTCCTTTACATGTCACTACGTTTAAATAGGTTGACTTGGGACATTTTTTTCGTGGTTTTTGTATTAGACCCGTCGTCCATTTATTTGTAAGTCAATGTTTATTATTAATTAATCTATTAGTTAGTAATTTATTTTGTCTGTTTCCCAAAAATGTTAGTTTTTGAATTACGTCACTTTATAATTGAGAGTACGATATTATTCTTTGACATCGCATTTTAAATTGTAACATTGATTGAAATAAATTATTCTATTTTGAGAAAAATTATTGCTGATTTTCTATGTCTGAGTACAGTAGTTTTTAAAAGATATCTCTTCTCATTTCAGGCCTAAAGACTCTACGACCGTTATCAGAGCTGTTCGATCTGGTGAGGCCGCCACCAGGCCGAGGAACAGCAGTTGAGGTGCATTCTACTCCTTTTGGTTGTGAAGTAAGTAAATTTTTCTCTCAAAAAAAAAGAAACAATTTGCCATCATTTTGTTTCTTGTACCGCTGGCTTTAAGCTTATTTTTTTACGGACTGGTAATAATAACAAATATGCTTAACATTAAATAATACATTGTTTTACCAGGGCGCAAAAACGTTTTATTTTTTTCACTTCTCATTCTCTGAAAGTACGTCATTGTTGACTCAATTTAACTCCACGTATCTAGAGTAAAATGCTTCCTCTATTCCCTAGCGAGTAAAAGTATCTAATTTTTTAAATTACTTCAAGTGAAAGGATTCGCTCTGGACCTTTTGGAGGGAAAAGTGTCGTTTTTATTTTCACTTTCAATTATTTTGTGAAATCTAGTTTATAGTGGAATAGGATAGTGCTATTGTGCCTTAATCGAAGATTAAAACGCGAAATTATACGAATCTCGAACTAAAATACCCGTATCGGCCCGTTTTAAGGAATCCCGAGTCAATCCAAGCACGCCGCATCAAATTGCCTATCCTTTTTGTGGCGGCCATATTTACAGAAACATATTTAAACTTCATGTTTAGGCTGACGGCCTTGCCAAAGCCTTAATAAAAAAAAATTTAAAAAAAATCAAGTGAAAGTGGAATAGACGGTGGCGCCATGTTATTTTCCCGCGCTATTGCGTTTGTTGTATCTGTGTCTGGTAGAGGTGAGAAATAGCAGGTTACGAATACCAATAATGATTTCTGAAACTATTTATTAGCAATAGTAATTCTTCGACCATATTTGATTTCAATACGTCACTCAATAAATGTGCAGTTTGTGAAACGAGTTACAGTTACGCTTTGGTATTGCTTCGGTTTGAAGTATGTTCGATATATTTAGCGGTAGAGCCATTGACTTACAATTATATGGACGTCGGGTCCGCGCTAAAAAGTGTCCGCACTTGTAAGGCGCTAAAATCAAATACAGAGCGCGACACTCCGCTTTAGTCTTCATTTGTTCTACGGACAGCGCGATACTGCGATGACATAACAATTTAAATTTCGAATAGGTTGACTTGGGACATTTTTTTCGTGGT